TTTTTCAACATTTCTGATACCAGTTTCTTCTTAGAATACATTAGTCCATTAGTCAATGACTGCCAGATCACTCAATCTAAAGAGATCTCTGATATGGAATTGACATGAGGTTATCACACACAGGAGGACCCTTGGACTGGTCATTGAGAAACACTGAACCCGATGACTTGGCTGGTTGAAGGGATCTGTGATGGACTAAGTAAACCAATAGCTTCCATGGTTCTATTTATAATACTGCAGTCTCTGTTGATGATTGACCAATTTTGCCTAGTCCATTAATGGCAGTAGGCATGCCAATGTGGGGGAAGGGGGGCAGGATGGAGTCAGGATTCTTCTTACAAAACTCAGTAAGCCAATATCTAAGATGTTGGGATCACAAGTATTAAATGTAAAGAAGATAATGAATTGTTAAATAAAATTACAAATATATCTATGTAATGACTGCACTGTCACAGTAATTCTGTTCATTGGCAGTACTACAACATATAGTATTTCCACCCGGGTAGCCAGTGAATATACTTATCCTTAAGTGCCTGGACATATCCAAGTCAGGATATAAGGGCGTAATTTGTAATATTTTCTTAATAGAATTCCTTTTTGTAGAATGTGGATTGGAGATACTGTATACTGCAAATTAGTCTAACAGGCTCCATCCATATTGTTTTTTAATGTCAAACAGCTTTATTCTCACAACATTATTGAAAACAATTAGACCAGATCTTGATCTTGTATATAACTAATCAACTAAGCTGCAAACACAGCATTAAAGTCACACATCCAGCATCTAAAATAAAAAAAATATTTTGTGGTACTAAGAAGAAAAACTGGTGCATAGGACCTGAGTTTAAGAGAGCAGCGCTAGGTGCTGGGGACAGGGAGCAGGGTTCCACCAGCGCAGGGTTGGAAGTGAGAAGAAACTGCTTAGATCCTGCAAGAAAACTACTGTACAGTAAATGCACTGCACAGAAGCCGCTTCTGGGTGCAAGAAATGATACTTATCACAGAAAAAAAACAAAAAAATCTTGCCCACAAAAATGACACAGTCACTGTATTTTACAGTATATTCTGTGAAGCACTTTGAGACATCTCAAAAAGGTGATAAGGCGCTACATCAAATGCAAGGATTATTATTAATAATCCAAAAATATATATTTATATAATACAATAATAATAAAAAATAATAAACTGCTTTCCAATCTCAGTTAAATTTAATAATAATCCTTGCATTTGATAGAATAATAATAATAATCCTTGCATTTGCTATAGCGCTTTTCACATCACGAGGACGTCCCAAAGCGCTTCACAGAACACACTGTAAAGTGAATTGACTGTATATGTGTGGGCGAATGCGGCAGCCAATTGCGCACAGCAATGTCCCACAAACAGTCGTAGATTGAAAATGACCAATTTATTACTGTTTTTGGTTTTTGGAGGGATTATTATTAGGCTCTGTGTGGAGTAAGGAAACTTGCCCAAGGTTTCGCCCTCTGCCTGGAATTGAACTCAGGCCTCTCGCTTGCAAAGTGAGTGCTCTAACCACTGAGCTACAGGACTCCACAAATATAGAACTTTTCACACCTTCTAGACATCTCAAAGCGCTTCACAGAATATACTGTAAAGTTAATTGACTGTATATTTGTGGGTGAAACGTGGCAGCCAATTGCACACCACAGTGTCCCACAAACAATGGTGGATTGAGTGACCAAATTATTATTTTGTTGAAGGATTATTAATCCCATAAAAGCAATCCGCCGATTAACTAACAACCAGGTTCCTACTTACTGCTGGGTAAACAGAGGCGTATGGAGTAAGGAAACTTGCCCAACATTTTTGCCCTGTGGGGAATCGAACCCAGGTCTCTCGCTTGCGAGGTGAGTACTCTAACCACTGAATTACAGGACTCCATAATTTGCCCTAAAATGGAAGGGCTAGACATTATAGAATGATCTATATTCTTATTAACTGTGTAATGAACAATTAAAGTTTTCCCAACCCAATACCTGTGTTCAGAGGTTTGCATTATTTCTGAAATCACAATGAGCCTGTGCAAGAGAAAAAAAACACATCTCCCTGTGCACTAAAGGATGACATTTACATGTGATCTTTGCTAAGCATTATTGTGCTCTATCTCCTTTTTTATTATTATTTCCTGCTTGAAACTCCCCTCTCGGCATTGGCACTTTCCCCTTTAAAATCATATCAATGTTAGCAGCTCTGCTCTGTGTGTGTGTGTGTATATGGTGTGTGGAAGCTTTGCTGCCTGTGTGTGTATATGTGTGGTGTGTGTATGCTTTGCTGCCTGTGTGTGTGTGGCGTGTGGAAGCTTTGCTGCCTGTGTGTGTGTGTGTGTGGTGTGTGGAAGCTTTGCTGCCTGTGTGTGATGTGTGTGTGGAAGCTTTGCTGCTTGTGTGTGTGTGGTGTGTGTATGGAGTGTGGAAGCTTTGCTGCCTGTGTGTGTGTGTGTGTGTACTGTGTGTGGAAGCTTGGTCCCCCGTGTGTGTGTGTGTGTGTGTGTATGGAGTGTGGAAGCTTTGCTGCCTGTGTGTGTGTGTGTGTGTGTACTGTGTGTGGAAGCTTGGCCCCCTGTGTGTGTGTGGTGTGTGTATGGAGTGTGGAAGCTTGGCTGCCTGTGTGTGTGTGTGTGTGTGGTGTGTGTATGGAGTGTGGAAGCTTGGCTGCCTGTGTGTGTGTGTGTGTGGTGTGTGGAAGCTTTGCTGCCTGTGTGTGTGTGTGTGTATGGTGTGTGGAAGCTTTGCTGCCTGTGTGTGTGTATGGTGTGTGTATGGTGTGTGGAAGCTTTGCTACCTGTGTGTGTGTGTGTGTTGTGTGTGGTGTGTGGAAGCTTTGCTGCCTGTGTGTGGTTGTGTGGTGTGTGGAAGCTTTGCTGCCTGTGTGTGTGGTGTTGGTGTGGTGTGTGTGTGGTTGGTGTGTGGAAGCTTTGCTGCCTGTGTGTGTGTGTGTGTACTGTGTGTGGAAGCTTTGCTGCCTGTGTGTGTGTGTGTGTGGTGTGTGGAAGCTTTGCTGCCTGTGTGTGTGTGTGTGTATGGTGTGTGGAAGCTTTGCTGCCTGTGTGTGTGTGTGTGGTGTGTGGAAGCTTTGCTGCCTGTGTGTGTGTGTGTGTATGGTGTGTGGAAGCTTTGCTGCCTGTGTGTGTGTGGTGTGTGTATGGTGTGTGGAAGCTTTGCTGCCTGTGTGTGTGTGTGTGTGTATGGTGTGTGGAAGCTTTGCTGCCTGTGTGTGTGTGTGTGTGGTGTGTGTATGGTGTGTGGAAGCTTTGCTGCCTGTGTGTGTGTGTGTGTGTGTGTGTGTGTTGTGGTGTGTGGAAGCTTTGCTGCCTGTGTGTGTGTGTGTGTGTGTGGTGTGTGGAAGCTTTGCTGCCTGTGTGTGTGTGTGTGGTGTGTGGAAGCTTTGCTGCCTGTGTGTGTGTGTGTGTGTGTGTGTGTGGTGTGTGGAAGCTTTGCTGCCTGTGTGTGGTGTGTGTATGGTGTGTGGAAGCTTTGCTGCCTGTGTGTGTGTGTGTGTGTGTGGTGTGTGGAAGCTTTGCTGCCTGTGTGTGTGTGTGGTGTGTGGAAGCTTTGCTGCCTGTGTGTGTGGTGTGTGTGTGTGTGTGTGTGTGGTGTGGTGTGTGGAAGCTTTGCTGCCTGTGTGTGTGTGTGGTGTGTGGAAGCTTTGCTGCCTGTGTGTGTGTGTGTGTGTGTGTGTGTGTGGTGTGTGGAAGCTTTGCTGCCTGTGTGTGGTGTGTGTGGTGTGTGGAAGCTTTGCTGCCTGTGTGTGTGTGTGTGTGTGTGGTGTGTGGAAGCTTTGCTGCCTGTGTGTGTGTGTGTGTGTGTGTGGTGTGTGGAAGCTTTGCTGCCTGTGTGTGTGTGTGTGTGTGGTGTGTGGAAGCTTTGCTGCCTGTGTGTGTGTGTGTGTACTGTGTGTGGAAGCTTTGCTGCCTGTGTGTGTGTGTGTGTGTGTGTGGTGTGTGGAAGCTTTGCTGCCTGTGTGTGTGTGTGTGTGGTGTGTGGTGTGTGGAAGCTTTGCTGCCTGTGTGTGTGTGTGTGTGTGTGGTGTGTGGAAGCTTTGCTGCCTGTGTGTGTGGTGTGGTGTGTGTGTGTGTGTGTGGTGTGTGGAAGCTTTGCTGCCTGTGTGTGTGTGTGTGTGTGGTGTGTGTATGGTGTGTGGAAGCTTTGCTGCCTGTGTGTGTGTGTGTGTGTGGTGTGGTGTGTGTGTGGTGTGGTATGTGGAAGCTTTGCTGCCTGTGTGTGTGTGTGTGTGTGTACTGTGTGTGGAAGCTTTGCTGCCTGTGTGTGTGTGTGTGTGTGTGTGGTGTGTGGAAGCTTTGCTGCCTGTGTGTGTGTGTGTGTACTGTGTGTGGAAGCTTTGCTGCCTGTGTGTGTGTGTGTGTGTGGTGTGTGGAAGCTTTGCTGCCTGTGTGTGTGTGTGTGTGTGGTGTGTGGAAGCTTTGCTGCCTGTGTGTGTGTGTGTGTGTACTGTGTGTGGAAGCTTTGCTGCCTGTGTGTGTGTGTGTGTGGTGTGTGGAAGCTTTGCTGCCTGTGTGTGTGGTGTGGTGTGTGTGTGTGTATGGTGTGTGGAAGCGTTGCTGCCTGTGTGTGTGTGTGTGTGTGTGTGTGTGTGGTGTGTGGAAGCTTTGCTGCCTGTGTGTGTGTGTGTGTGTGTGGTATGGTGTGTGGAAGCTTTGCTGCCTGTGTGTGTGTGTGTGTGTGTGTACTGTGTGTGGAAGCTTTGCTGCCTGTGTGTGTGTGTGTGTGTGGTGTGTGTATGGTGTGTGGAAGCTTTGCTGCCTGTGTGTGTGTGTGTGTGTGTATGGTGTGTGGTGTGTGTATGGTGTGTGGAAGCTTTGCTGCCTGTGTGCAATCTCAATGCAGATGCTTCTGACGAATGGCCGAAAATCCCCACCATTCCCGATGGTGTGTCCTCGCCCCCAGAGAGCCCCAGACAGCCCGAGCTCTTGCCTTTGACTGCCTCCTCGGATGGTTCCGCCTCACGCACTTACTTACCTGTGGGCTGTCTGACGGTGTCTGCGGTGCACTCCATCTGGTCCAAGCGCTGCCACAGGGAGAGAGACACACACACACACACACACTGGCGCGGGGGCAACCTTTGGAGCCTTATTGCTTGAGGGGGGCAGAGGATGCTCTGAGAGTGCCGGGTTTTGTGATGGATGGATGGCTGACTCCCCTCTGCCTCAGTCTCTCACTCTCTCCTGCCCTCCCCCACGAAATGCTCGTTCGAGAACATTGAAGATCCACCAGTATCATGGACTCTCTCGCGAGGAGACATTGCAGTCTCCAACACACACATACACACATACATACACACACAGACACAGACAGACACACACACATATACACAGACATACACACACACACACATACATACATACACAGACACACACACATATACACAGACATACACACACACACAGACATACACACATAGATACACACACATACACAGACAGACATGCACACACACATACACACACAGACATACACACACAGACACAAATATACACACACATACACAGACAGACATACACACATACACACACACACAGACATACACAGACGCACAGACATACACATACACAGACATACACACACGCACAGACATAAACAGACACACAGACATACACACACACATACCCACACACAGACATACACACACACACACACAGACATACACACAAACACACACACATACACACAAACACACACACATACAGACACACACACACACAAGGTGGAAACGTGCAGAAGCACCCGGGCTGCTTTTGACTCATTTGCAATTCACAAAGCTCTGCACACACACACACACACACACACAGAGCTGTCCTCTGCTTCCACATATTGCAGTTTATAAATGATACATTGAATTTATTATCCATTTTTAGGATCGCTTTCTGGGGCGGGGGAGGTAATAATCCCGCGCCAAAAGAAAATAGTAATTTGACCACTCAATCCATTTAATTTGGTCGATAGATCAACAACGAAATTCGTAAAGCGCCTTTCATGTCGGGAGGACGTCCCAAAGTGCTGGACAGACTGAGTTAGGGACCCAAGCTGGGCGTTGGGGTGGGGGAGGGTGGAAGGCAGGGGGGGAAGCAGGGAGTTTGAAAGCACGGTCAAAGAGGAGGGTCTTGAGATGGGTCTTGAAGGTGGCGAGGCGGAGGGACTGCGGTATGGAGTTCCAGAAGGTGGGTGCAGAGTGGCGGAAGGTCCGACCGCCAATTTTGGGGCGGGCGAGGCGGGGGACGTGAAGCGGAACAGAGCCCGCTGAGCAAAGGGAGCGAACAGGATGGCAGGGGGTTAGGAGGTCGCAGACATAGTGGGGAGCAAGACCGTGGAGGGCTTTGAAGATGAGGACCAGGATCTTGAGCTGTATCCTCTGTGTGATGGGAAGCCAGTAGGCAGCGGAGCCATGTGTGGAAGAGGACACGGGCTGCAGAGTTCTGGATGATCTGCAGCCTATGGAGGGAGGAGTTGGGGAGGCCGACAAGCAATGAGATTGCATAGTCGAGCCTCGATGTAATGAAAGCATGTAAAAGGGTTTCAGTGGCGGGCGGGGTGAGACAGTGGTAGAGCCGGGCGACGTTGCGGAGGTGGGGAAAGACAGAGCGGCTCATGGTGCAGATGTGGGGTAAAAAGGATAGTTGAAGGTCAAACAAGACCCCAAGGTTCCGGACTGGCTTAGCAAGGTGAAGTGTGCAACCATGGATGGCGATGCTGTCAGCACCTGAGGTGTGGAGGTGCTGACGGGAGCCAAACAGGAGAGCTTCGGTCTTGTTGAGGTTCAACTGAAGAAAGTTAGCTCGCATCCAGGACTTAATGTCTGACAGACATTCTGTCAGGACAGCAGTGGTCCTGGAGTCAAGGGTGGAGGCAGAGAGATAGAGTTGGGTGTCATCGGCATACATGTGGAAGTTGATCCCATGTCTGCGGATGATGTCACCAAGGGGAAGCATATAGATATTAAAGAGGAGGGGACCAAGGACAGAGCCCTGAGGAACGCCGCACGAGATGGTCCAGGGGCTAGAGGAGAAACGATTTGTGGAGATGAAGTGCAGGCGGTGTGAGAGGTATGATCTGAACCAGTCAAGGACAGAGTTGTGGATGTTGAGGAGAAAGGAGAGGTGGTGAATGAGGATAGAGTGATCGATGGTGTCGAAAGCAGCAGATCAACAACAACAAAATTACATTAATAGAGCGCCTTTCACGTCGGGAGGACGTCCCAAAGCGCTGAACAGTCAGATGTCGGGGCCCGAGCATGGGGGCGGGGTAGTGTAGGGAAGGCAGAGAGGTGGGAGGGAGCCCAAAGGCACGGTTGAAGAGAAGGGTCTTGAGACCGGCTTTGAAAGATGCAAGGGAGGAAGCGAGGCGAAGGGACCGTGGGATAGAGTTCCAGAGTGTGGGGCAGAGAGGCTGAAAGCCCGGCCACCGATGGTCGGGTAGGAGACATGGAGCAGGCCGGAGCCCATGAATGGAGGGAGTGGGCAGGTTGGTAGGGAGTCAGCAGAGTTTTGGATGATCTGCAGGTTGTGAAGGGAAGAGTTGGGAAGGCCGATGACGAGGGAGTTCCTGTAATCAAGCCTTGAGGTGACAAATGCGAGGGTGAGGGTTTCTACAGCCTGAGAGGTGAGGCAGTGGCGGAGTCTGGCAATGTTGCGAAGGTGGTGGTAGGCAGTGCTGGTCATGGAGCGGATGTGGGGGAGAAAGGACAGTTCAGGGTTAAACAAGACACCCAGGTTCCTGACTGGCTTAGTGAGGTTGAGTGTGCAGCCGTGGAGGCTGATGCTTCCAGCGCCTGAGGTGCGGAAGCACTGGTGCGAGCCAATCAGGAGGGCCTCGGACTTGCTGACATTGAGTTGGAGAAAGTTGGCTCTCGTCCAGGACTTGATGTTGGACAGGCAGTTGGTCAGGACACCAGTAGTCCTGGAGTTCAGGGTGGAGGCAGAGAGGTAGAGTTGGGTGTCATCCGCATACATGTGGAAATTTACCCCATGTCTGCGGATGACGTCACCAAGGAGGAGCATGCACAGGGTGAAGAGGAGGGGACCAAGGACAGAGCCCTGAGGAACACCGCACGAGACAGTGTGGGGGCTGGAGGAGAAACCATTTGCCGCGACGAAGTGGAGGCGGTGTGAAAGGTGGGATCTGAACCAGTCAAGGACAGAACCTTGAAGGTTGAGGTGGGAGGAGAGGCAGTGGTGGAGATTGTATATTTTCCAATTCATGAATTCAATTGATCAATTCATGAAGTTGGACACTGCAGTGCGCAATTGGCTGCTGCCTTTCGCCCACAAAATATGCAGTACATTCACGTTACAGTATATTCTGTGAAGCCCTTTCAGATGTCTCAACGGCGTGATAAGGTGCTATATCAAATGCAAGGATTATTATTATAATTAAAAATTTTCTGCAAAATACGTAGAATGTGTACAGATGCGAATATGCATTTGTTCGTACAATGCATTTCCGCTCAGTCATAAACTTCTACAGAAAGTGAAACATCCAAATAAACCTGAAAAAACAATTTATAGTTGGTATTGATCGCGTAAATCATATTCACTACGTACTTCAACAGTTGTCTGGGTTTTGTGAAATATGCAGAGAACATAATCATCGAATGACCCCTGCTCCTGATTATATAAAAGATCCCATAATACAAAATTCCATGATTGGGATGCTGTAAAAAGGATATAATTTGTCACAAGGGGTTCAGGTGAAATCTAAAACAAAAATTTGTACTTTTATAGGGCATCTCACATCCTGCATTTGATATAATAATCCTTGCATTTGATATAGTGCCTTATCACGTTTTCGAGACGTCTCAAAGCACTTCACAGAATATGCTCTAAAGTGAATTGACTATATTTTGTGGGTAAATACATAGAACATCTCAAAGTGCGTTACAAAGATGGAAATGAAAACCAAACTGGGAGTCCTCAAAAGTAAGACAAAATTGTAATTTTATACAATCATGTGAGATTTTATTACAAACTCAACCAAATTAAATCAATGCTGAACCTATTTTGTGGTTGAAAGTAATTTTGAAGAGCACCCAATAATATGTGAACTAATTTCATTGCTTCATGTGAATTTCATTGTTTGAACTTCTGAGTATAATCAAAGAGAATCAACTGACTTAACTCAATTGACAACCTCTGATGGTTGTTTAATGTTGAATCATATCTCTGTTTGATTGTGCTTTTTATGTCTCACAGGATTTTAATTGGATAACACAAGAGAAATTCTATTTATAGTATTCATGAAGATTGAATTTGACAGTTTTAATATCTAAGGCCACTTACAACATGATGGTATCATAGCACTAGTTCATACCAATGGAATTGTCTTGTTTGAGTTCTTCTTTTTTGAAGAATTTTAGGGGTATTCGCCGACAAACTAATAGAATCATAGAACTGTACAGCACAAAAAGAGACCATTCGGCCCATCGAGTTTGTGCTGGCTCTTTGAATAGAGCAATTAATGTCAATCCCACTCCCCAGCCCTTTCCCCATAACCCTGCAAACCCGTCCTCCTCAAATACCCATCCACCGCTTTTTTAAAAGTAGTTATCGAATCTGCCTCGACCACCCTTTCAGGCAATGCGTTCTAGATTCGAACAACTTGCTGCGTGAAAAAAAGTCATTGCAATTTAGAATAAATCCAGTGAAGCACTTTGAGGCGTTATCCCAATGTAAAAAACGCTATATCAAATACAATGATTATTTATTATTATTATCCTTGTTATACACAACCACACTATGGAAATGGTCAGTGAAGATCCTGAAATATGTTAAGTGATGCATACTCCAACTTGTCATTCAGGACATGGACTCCTGTAGCGATGGAGTCCTGTAGCTCAGTGGTTAGAGCACTCGCTTTGCAAGCGAGAGACCTGAGTTCAATTCCAGGCAGGGCGAAACCTTGGGCAAGTTTCTTTACTCCACACGCCTAATAATAATCCCTCCAAAAAAACAAAAACAATAATAAATTGGTCATTTTCAATCTACGACTGTTTGTGGGACATCGCTGTGCGCAATTGGCTGCCGCGTTCGCCCACAAATATACAGTCAATTCACTTTACAGTGTGTTCTGTGAAGCGCTTTGGGACGTCCCCCCGACGTGAAAAGCGCTATATCAAATGCAAGGATTATTATTATTATTATTTACAGGCCAGTGTTGCTCTCTATTAAAAATAACAAGGTGTTTTAAGCCCTGAAGTCCTGGCACTTGTTGATGGCTGTAATTATATTCTGTCAGAATACATCAACACTATCACAAGAGAGATTTGGATGAAAAAGGAATGTCAGAC